AAATCTGCTAAGAAATTCACTTAAATTAGTTTTTATATATTATATTTGTATAAAAGTATTATAATTATAGGATTTTATTATTATCCTTTACTGGTGGGATAATGTGGTAGGCAGATTAATAGCCTCTCCAAATATGTTCACATTATAACCTCCAAAACTGTGGTTATGTTATGTTACGTAGAGGATTATGGTCACAGATGGAGTTGAGGTTGCTAATTAGCCAACCTTAAAATAGGCAAATTATCCTGGGTTATCCACGTGGACCCAATGTAGTCACAAATTGTCCTTAAAAGTGGAAGAGGGAGGCAGATGAAGAGGCCCCAGTGATGCCCTGTGAGATGAACTCAGCCTGCTGTTGCTGGCTTTGAAGATGGAGAATGAGAAACATGAGCTAAGGATTATAGGTAGCTTGTAAAAGTTGGAAAGGATAGGGAAAAGGACCTCCAGACGGGAACAAATCCCTGCCAACCCCTCGATTTCAGTCCATTATATGTATAAAAAATCTTAGCCCCAGAGATGTTGAGGCTCTTTCCCAAGATCACACAGCCTCGTTCTAAAATTTGATTCCAGGTCCATCTGATTCCAAGCCAAAGATTATACTAGGATATCTGGTGGCTAGGAATTTAAGTGATCACCTTACATTGTAAAGCTAATGACAACATCTTCTGATACAAAAGATGCAATCTAGCTCTTCTTCCCAAGACAAAGGCTGACCTCATGTCTCATGTGAAGCAATTGTCTGTGCTGACAAATGCAGTTTCTAGGAAATGCATGCGGCACCATGCTGCTAAGTCCTGTGGAATCACGTGTCATTACTAACTGTGAAATTTTAATAGAATGTCTAGGAGCTTCAAGAGAGCAAGTCCTTTCTTAAGAAAGGACTTAGAAAAAGAGCAGTAATGCTCAGAGCAAGGTGTCAGCTATGGAATCTATCGAATTCTAGAAGGAATATGATAGTGGAGATCAATCAGAAGAGACTTAACTCTCTGAAGAGATCAGAAGAGAAAATGTATGGGAGAAATGTCACTTCACAGGAAAGAAGGGAAAACGTTTGAAATAAGAAAAAAATGTTCAGTTTGTATTTTGCATTTCTTGTGTTCACCAAATTGGCATGACAGCAGGTAACATGTTACATGACATTGTTTCTAGTAAGTGGAGAGATGACTTTACACTGATGTGAGCCAGTGAGTCTTGTTCACAGCACAAGCCAATTAGAGCCTCTTAAGCTACGAGTGGCCAGGCAACCAATACATGAATAAAACAGCAGAGGTTTAAAGGCAAACTCTTTCTCCACCACTGGGAAATCTATTTGACTTATTATAACCACCTTCAAGAGTTTTGTTCAATAAACCAAGACACACATAGTGGTACCTGTTTATTTAAAGGAAATACTCAACTAGACATAATATTTTCTGCACAAACAACAGGACTTCCAGGAAAATAGCTGAAGGTCACTCTATTCTCATCTTGTCCTTTTTATATCCAGGGCGTATTATTCACACAGGTGGGATTGGAGGGGCTCCTCCAGTTGGGGCTGGAGGAGCCAGGCCATTCTTGGAAGTGCTTGCTGACAACAGGTCCTGAAGAGTGTTCAGCTAAGTCCTAAAGTCCAGCAAAGCCTCAGCCTCTAAGTCAAGCATGTTAAGAAATCATTCTTAGTTTTACTGGATCTTAAGCAGCTTAATGATTTCATTAACTTATTCAGTGAATTGGGTCTGACTTTATTCATATTGGCAAATGATGCTGGGCTTCCAACTATCAGGGACCCAGCATCACTACTGAAGGTTAAATGAAGTACCTGATGGTCTGGGTTTGTGCCAATTGCACCCTAGATGGGCAGAAAAAACTCATTGGCTTAAAATATAATAGATAGTGTGGTAGCACTTTTGTGGTCTAGCAAGGTAGCTTAGAGCAAGGAGTTTTGGATGCAGAGACCTAGATTTCTGCATCTGGTGGACTCTGCCCACATCCAGTTCAGCGATCTTAAGCAAATTACCTAATCTTTATGAATCTTAGTTTTCCTATTTGTTCACTTGGTACAACAGTATATTTATCTTGCATTTCCTGTGAACATTAACAGGAAAATAGATATAAATTGTATAGCATAGTTCTCTTGCAGAGTAGATGCTCAGTACCTGGTAGTAACTAAGAACTATTCTTTTTTTTGAGACACAGTCTTGCTGTGTCACCAGGCGCCACGCTGGAGTGCAGTGGTGCCATCTCAGTTCACTGCAACCTCCGCATCCCAGGTTTAAGCAATTCTGCCTCAGCCTCCCAAGTAGCTGGGACTACAAGTGCGTACCACCACACTCAGCTATTTTTTGTATTTTTTAGTTGAGACAAGGTTTCACCATGGTCTTGATCTCTTCAGGCGTGAGCTTCCACTCCCGGCCCTAAGAACTATTCTTACTAGTGAAGGTGTTCACGAGGATTTTGTCATTATCTAATTTCTATACTTTGGTTTTCTAAACTGTTATATAGAGTAATACTAGTATCTGTTGCATAGTGTTGTGGTTAAATGCAAAATGCTTAACTCAGTGGCTGACACATTGTAAGCACTCAATAAACATTAGCTATTGGTTTATAGTTGCTATCAAAAATTGTTATCTTTAGATGTCTAGATAAAATCACATGGAATATTGAGATTAAAGTCATATTTATATGCTAAGTAGACTGAGGAGTTAACGGTAAAAAAAAAAACCTTTTAGGATTAAAAGAGATTTTTGGTGAGATATTTAACACTACCAAACCTCAGTGTGGCGTACACTATAGGTAGCCCACCCATATCCTCTCGGGACTAAAAATTGCACGCGTACTAACCTAATAACCCCCAACTGCCAGTACTCGCACTGCTTTCTGATGCCTTCTCTATCTGTTCTAGCCCTTGGACAGGGTGATCAGAAAGTGCTGGGGAGTTACGACTCTCCCAGAGCAGCCCTTATTCAGTGACTGACAGAGCAAGCAGGTAAATATCACCGCTCCTTTTGCCCCTGGTTGGGCTGAGCGGTGTTCTGCCCTGGGTTTCATATTCTCTCATGGGATTGAGGCCCCATTGCCCATAGCAATAATCTTCTCCATAACTCAAGATTTATTGTTTTCCTTTTCTTCCTTGGTTCACTTCCCCACCCTCCTGCTTCTACTTGAATTCTTATCTCAGAGAGAACTGGCTTCCAGGAAAACTCAGTTCAGGACACTTTTGTTTTTTCAAATGGGGACAATGGCACTTATCCTTTCACGGGGCTGATGAGAGAGCAAATGAAATGTTAGATGTTATGAACTTTGAACAGTACAAAGAGATTTCTATAAAGTGAAGATTTATTATTCTTTGGCCAGTGTTTAAGATTTGCCCAAACCAGTATTTAAGATCCAAGAACCAGCCTGAGCTATTGCTGAGCACTAATGGAGCCCCCATCCTAACTCAGGCTGCCATATCCTCATTCCAGGGCTTCTGGCGTCTCCTCCTGTACCCATCTTCCTCCAATCTTACTGCTCTCCTTCATGCCTTCCTGGTTTATTTCCTCTTTAACATTTATCGCTATTTGAATTCATCTGATTTTTTCACCCAGCATTTAGAACAAAGCTTAGCACATGGTAGGTGCTCCATAAATAGCTGTTGAATGAACTGATGAATTCATTGATCTATTTTCAGCATCATCCTTTATAAGAAGTTGCAAAAATAGTACAAAGCCCCATGAACCCTTCACCCAGCTTCCTGCAAAGGTGACATCTTGTCTAATGATAGTACAATATGAAAGCCAAGAACCTGATAGAGGGATTTCTTTGAAGAGAAAATTAAGTCATGTCATTGTCCTGTTAATTTGCCCAGTGGCTTCCCATTTCTCTTAGAATAGAATCTGTTTCCCATGTCCTCCAAGGGTCCTCATAACCTGGCTCTTTCAAACTCCGCAGCCCCAACTCCTGCCCCACCCCTTGCATGTCCAGCCCCAGTAGCTTTTTTCTTATCAGTCCTTTGAAGGCCCCCAGCAGTCTCCCCTCATTAGGTCCTTGGATGCACTCTGCCCTCCGCCTAAAATATTCTGTGTGTGGCTGATTCTTCCTATTCTTCATGTCTCAACTTACATGTTCCCTCTTCACAGAGGCTTTTGCTGGCCACCCTATGCTATTCTTCCCTACCCTGTCCCTTGTTTCTTTTCCTTACGGCATTAATCACAGTTCATTCTTACGTGTTTGGTTAATTTACTTGTCTCCTATTTGATTCTTCCAATCTTGAGTATAAGCTCAAAAGATGCCAGGTACTATGTTTTGCTCACCTCAGTGCAATTAGAAATCTGACTTATAAAAACTCAGGCTTCAAAATACACACACACACACACACACACACACACACACACACACACACACACACGGAGATACTATCTCACACCGGTAAGAATGGCCATTATTAAAAAGTCAAAAAATAACAAATGCTGGTGAGAAGGGAATGCTGGCTAGGTGCTATGGCTCATACCTGTAATCCCAGCCCTTTGGATGGTCCAGGCAGGCAGATTGCTTGAACTCAGTAGTTTGAGACCAGCCTGGGCAACATGATGAAACCCCATCTCTACAGAAAAATACAAAAAATTAGCCAGGCATTGTGGTGTGCGCCTGTAGTCCTATCTATTGAGGGGACTGAGGTGGGAAGACCACTTTGAGCCCTGGAGGCAGAGGTTGCAGTGAGCCAAGATCACACCACTGCACTGCAGTCTGGGTGATAGAGGCAGACCTTATCTCAAAAGAAAAGGGAATGCTTATACAATACTGTTGGGAGTGTCAGTTCAGCCACTGTGGAAAGTAGTGTGGCCATTCCTCAAAACTAAAAACAATTGCCGGTTGACCCAACAATCCCATTACTGTATATATACCCAAAGGAATATTGTCATTCTATCATAAAGACACATAGATGCATGCCTATGTTCATTGCAGCACTATACACAATAGCAAAGACGTGGAATCAGTTTAAATGTCCATGAATAGTAGACTGGATAAATCAAATGTGGTACATATGTTGTACAGGACCGAGCACAGAAAGTCAGCACCAAGACAAAAGCATGCCAAATTGCAGGGTCTTTATTGCCGGCGGCCACGGAGGACTCGCATCTCTCCACCCCGTGGCCCCCAAAAGAGGGTGTCAAGACCCCTTTATACTGATAAAAATCACCTTGGGCGTGAGGGAGAGGGGCAGGGGGTGTCGGTGAGGGTGTTCCGGACATTCCAGTGGATTCCTGGGCGAAGATGGGGTGAGGGGCTCTGGACATTCTGGTGGATTCCTGGGCGAAGATGGGGTGAGGGGCTCCGGACATTCTGAGGGCCGGGGGCCCTTTTTGACATCCTGGTTGTTACTTAAGTGATTCACAAAAGTCAAGATTAGCATTTGTTCACACATTGTCTGGGTAAGGTGGCGATTATAGCCCTTAATTGCTCATTCACATTTGGGTTACAGAGGGCAGTTTAAACAGAAAGCCGAGGTATGGTTGAGGTATGCAGTTTTATGGGGATTTTTACCATGTCACATTCCCCTCTTGTTTTATTTACAGGAATTAAATCATTGATTCCTCCAACAGGTTAGTGCTGTTTGTTTGTTCTAAGGACTCATATTGATACCTTAATATCATTAATTTTATGGAGTCTATGCTAGATTTATGAACCTGAGCAGTTGGTTTAGGAGGCAGGGGCCGAACATGAGACCCAGTAAGAGCAGGGCCAGAGGTCCCACCAGGCCTGTGAGGAGGGAAGTGAGCCAAGGGGACCAGGAAAACATTTTTTGATACCAACTTTCCGAAGCCTCTCGAAGTTGTTTTCTGGTTTCGGGATTCTGTCTGACCAGGGAGAGTCTCTCTAGGATGAGGCTTGACCTATTAGCATAGAAGCAACATTGTTCATTAAGGCTGGCACATAACCCCCTTGTTTTAAGTACAGTAAATCTAGTCCTCGCCTGTTTTGGAGGACCATTTCAGCCAAAGACTCAACCTGATCAGTGAGTTGGGAAATGGAGTTTTCTAAGTGCCTTAGGTCAGTATCTATGTGCTGAGAGAGAGTTTTAAAATTTTGGTCCCCAGTTATAAGAGCTGATATTCCAACTGCAGTGGAGCCAGCAATACCTAATCCAACCAGTAGAGGGATGACGATAGGGACTCGCTTCCATCGGGCAGTAATAATATCTGATGGGGCCAGGAGATTGAGTCCCTATTGGCTATCATAAATCTCAGCTCTGGGGAGGATGTGTACTGGGGTGCAGAGTATGGGGGCGGAGCTGCTGAACTGGTACGTGGAAATGCAGTTGGTGAGGCCAAAAGTGCAGGCTAACCAAGTGGTATCTGGGGCCTGAAGGTTTGTACCATTAAATGTTACATTGTGGGAGACATTACAATAGTGCCCATAGGGAGAACCTGAAAGGGTATAATTTGGGGAGTGGTAGCAGTGCCCGTACCCTTCTGTGTCTCCCAGGGTTAAATGGGGGTATGGACTGGGAGCATGAAGAATTGGACAGGTAGGCCGGTAATTGGGAAGCCAACCTGGTATAAAACAGTGGTTGAGGATTTAAACAGAGCCAACAGTCTTTTCCTAAATCTGATTAGATTTGTTGAGGAGGTGGTGAGCTGAGGACAACAAGGTTAACAGGGTTGTGTCCTCTTCGAGCCGAGTTGGGGTTGTAGGGGAAGGTTGTTGAGAGTGGGTATTGATTATCTGGATGAGGGGGCTTTGTATTTTTAAGGGGGCCTCCTGTTGTTTTATGACCTGGGCAATGGGTCCTATAGGGCGGTTGGGTCTGGCAAGGCTATACGCTGGATGGTAAAGATGTTTCCCATGTCCCACCCACTCATATATACTCTGAGACCCCAGGTTCGCCCCATTGTCCATCTACCATCTGGGGTAGTTAAAGTTATTTTGAGTGGGTTACAAGACCCGGTGTAGCATGGGGATGGGGGAGAGTCTCGGTTAAAAGAGATAAAGGAGTCTACATTTTTGGTATATCCTGATATAGTGGAGATAGTTTCACAACCCTCAATGGGGGCAAAAGAATTCATTTAAGTCTCCACAGTTCCATCTTTTTTGTGGGGTGGATCCTGGGCACAGATATAACCCATGGTCTGGAGTTGTTACTCTGCCCCTAAACTGCCGCACCCAGCTACACCTCCACTTGTTCTGAAATTTAGTTTGGGGCCCAGGAGGGCACAGAAGTTTAGGGAGAAGGCAATGCAGTTCTTTGGAATGTACTCCCAGGTTAGATTGACTAAGGTGGATCCCTTCCTGGTTAAGGAACTAACATATCCTCCAGTGGAGCCCTCGGTGAGGACCCATTGATAGTAGGTGGGTTCAAGGGGGGGTTTGCTATAGGGATTTACAGCACAGATTAGGGTGACGAGGGTGGTGACCGCAAAGAGCGCACAAGTCTTAGCTTTAGTGAGTTGGGGGATGAGTGTTTGACCCCCCATTGTCCTTCCGGTGGGGCAGTCTTGACGTGGGTGTGATGAATCCAGGCCGTTAGTCCGTCCACCTTGAGAGCAGTGGGTGTGATCAGGATAAATGTGTAGGGTCCCTTTCAACGGGGAGTGAGGCTGGAGATGGCGAATCTTTTAACAAGGACAGAGTCTCCAGGCTGGAAGGGGTGTGTTGGCCGCTCTGCAAGGTCCAATGGGGTGGGACGGGTGTCCTTAATGAGCTGGTGTATCTGGGATTGAACAGATTGCAGCGCCTGTAAGGACTTAAGGAGTGTATAGTTATGGACTTCAGCATGCATGATATCCACAGGTCTGGGGAGTAAAGGAGGGGGCCTGCCGAACATGATTTCAAAAGGGAAGAAACCTTTTTGATAGGGTGTGCATTGGACACGGAGGAGGACAAAAGGAAGCAGGCTGACCCAGTTTTCACTGGTCTCTAGGATAAACTTTGTCAGGGTTTCTTTTAAGGTCCGGTCGTTCGACTTGCCCTGAACTCTGGGGACAATAAGCACAATGTAATTTCCAGGATACACCCAGGGCCTTGGCTAGGCCCTAAGAAATTTGTGCAGTAAAGGTGGGCCCATTGTCTGACCCCAGCATTAGAGGGAGGCCAAACCAAGGAACAAGGGCCTGTAACCGTTTTTTTGTGACCACCAAAGCAGTCTCAGGCCTAGTGGGGAAGGCCTCAACCCATCCAGAGAACGTATCTATAAACACTAGGAGGTATTTATAGCCATTTGCCGGGGGTTTTATTTCAGTGAAATCTACTTCCCAGTGCTCCCCAGGGCTAGTCCCTCTAAGTCTCACTCCTACCTGGCTAGACCTGTTCCCTCCCGGATTTACTTGGCCACATACATCACACCGAGTAGTAGTTTCCTTGATAAGTTTATGTAAGTGGGGGATGTAGTATTTGGCTTTTAGCAGCTCAGTTAGCTTGGTTTGTCCTAAGTGAGTGGCCTGGTGTGTGTCCTTAACTAGAGCCCATCCTAGAGCCTCGGGGACCGCAATCCTTGTGTCCGGTAGAATCCACCATCCTGCGGAATCTTGTGTGCCCCCTTGTTCTTTAGCAAAATTTTCTTCATCAGGTGAGTACGTAGGGGTGGGGGACAGGGTTGGGGCCAGCAGAGTCACAAGAAGAGTCAGGTTTTACTGGTCCCAAGGCTGCCTGTCTGGCTTGTAGATCAGCCGCCCTATTTCCCCTCGCCTCTGGTGAATTTCCCTTCTGGTGTCCCTTGCAGTGTATTAATGCCACTGCCTTGGGCTTCCATATAGCCTCTAGTAGGGCTAGGATTTCTTCTTTATTTTGATGGTTTTTCCCTCTGAGGTAAGTAGTCCTCTTTCTTTATAAATGGCTCCATGTACATGAGCCATAGCAAAGGCATACCAGCTATCTGTGCAGATGTTTACAGTTTTTCCCTCCGCCCAGTCTAAGGCCTTTGTCAGATCTATGAGTTCTGCCTTTTGGGCCGAGGTTCCATGTGGAAGAGCCTGGGCCCGGATAACCTGCTCTAGGGTGACTACGGCTGCCCCGGCATACCTGACTCCGTCGACCATGAAACTGCTGTCATCTGTATACAGTGCCTCCTCTGGATTTTGCAGGGGGACATCGGTGAGGTCCGGTCGAGCTGTGTGGAGGACGTCCATTGTCTGTTGGCAGTCGTGTGTGGGCTCCTCCGGCTCGCTGTCTGGTAGCAGCATGGCAGGGTTTAAAACTGTAGCCTCTAAAAATTTTATGTGGGGCTGGTCCAAAAGTAAGGCCTGGTATTGAACTATGTGGGCATTTGACACCCATTTTCCAGGAGCTCCATGGAGTAGTGACTCTGCCGCGTGGGGTGCCACTAAGTTTAACTCCTGCCCCAAGGTTAGTTTGTCCACCTCCTTGACTAACAGGGCTGTAGCTGCCGCCGACGTCAGACAAGCTGACCACCCAAAGGCTACGGAATCAAGTCTTTTTGAAAGGTAGGCGACTGGCTGGAACCATAGTCCCAATGACTGGGTGAGCACCCCCTTAGCGACTCCCTGTTTTTCATGCACAAACAATCGGAAGTGTTTAGAGATGTCTGGCAAGGCCAAGGCTGGGGCTTAGTCAGGGCAGTCTTGAGCTTGTCAAAAGCCCGTTGCCCTGTCTCTGTCCACATCAAGGGCTGATTTCCTCCGATGCAGGCATACAGGGGCTTGGCTATCTCAGCGAATCCCAAAATCCATAGCCTGCAGTACCCTACTGCCCCAAGGAATTCTCGAACTTGGCGTTTTGTGGTGGGGGTGGGTATTTGCAGCACCGCTTGGACTCAGCTAGGTGCCAGTGCCCGGTTGCCCTTCTCTATGATATAGCCCAGGTAGGTAACTTTTGGTTGGCAGAGTTGGGACTTTTTAGCTGAGACCCGGTAACCCAAAGTCTGTAGGGTTTTTAATAATGACTAGGTGGTCTCTTTACAGGCCTCCTGGGTTTTTGTAGCCAATAGTAAGTCATCCACATATTGGAGTAGGACACACTCGGGGAACTCAGCTCGGCAGGTGGCAAGATCTTGGCTAAGTGCCTCATCAAACAGAGTAGGAGAGTTTTTGAACCCCTGAGGCAGTCTTGTCCAGGTGAGTTGCCCCAAAACCCCAGTATCAGGGTCAGTCCATTCAAAAGTGGCCGGGTAGTAGCTTATCCTCCACGGGGTTGGAACTCTGGGGCCCTGGAATAGCTCAGGGGCGCCTCCCCTAGAGGTCCCTGAGGTGGGAGCAGCTGCCCGGGAGAGACTCTGAGATGGCTTTTGTCTGGTGATGGACGAAGATAAATCTAAGTGGGACCTCCAAATGTTGTACAGGACCGAGCACAGAAAGTCAACACCAAGACAAAAGTATACAAAATTGCA